ATTCCTCAGCCAGCAAAGCTGGCTGAGGAATTCTGGGAGTTGAAGTCCACAAGTCTTAAAGTTGCCAAGGTTGGACACCCCTGCTTTAAGAGAATCTGTGTTGCTGAGTGAGGTCCTTATTCAATAGAAAGTGTCTTTTGCCCCATAAGAAAAAGAAATCAGGTTTTCTTCCCGTCTTCTTTTTTAAACTACCACGTCTGTTCTGAAAGGCAGAAACAAGAAGTAGTAGTCTCAGAAGAACCAAGTCTTGGCCTTGGCCTTTTGGAGAGGACACAGGAATCCTTACATCAAAAACCAAACATTTTTGTGGTTCAAATGTGCTTGATTGCCTCCCTTATTTTTCTTTGAGCAATGGGAAAAATATTGGAGATAAGGTGACAGTGATTTCACCTTGCTATTGGGTAAAGGAAAGGCAGACTCTTTCCTTTACCCAATAATATTCCTGCCCAACAGGCATGCACAACATGTATGTATGTATGTATATCCTGCCACAATGCCGAAGAACACTTCATGATTCACAGATATACAATATAATTAAACTAGGGACGGTCAGATTAAATTTTAAAGCACAATGTGTGCACATGTAAAACATGAATATTTCAACAAGCAGCAACCTATAAACCTCAACCAAGATGAAATTACAACCCAAATTTCTTCCAGAAGAGCTCCATTTTAATCTACTTTTAGAAGGTAGTTAAATTGAGATAATAATATGATTTCCACTGGGGGGGGGCATTCAAAGGACTTTGAACTCTTCACCTCTCCTGAAACTTGGACCCCCTCATTTTACCAAAAATACGTGAAACTCCCTGATCAAGCACTCAGGCAGAGCTTTTGATGCTGGTACTTCCTTAATGGGAAGTTAAACACCCTAAACATAGCAATTAGGCACAAACTGCTGAAACAATAAGAAAGAAGTTAAAAAATTTTTTGCCTTTTTTATTGCCATGGATTAAAGTAAAAGGTTGTTAGAAGGCTTTGAATGTAATTCAAGAAAATTATGTTAATCCTTTCAATGGCCTGTTTATCTAAGAATTGGATCGAGAGTTTTATCTAGTGAACTATAGACAGAATTGCTGGATCATAATACCCACTCTTCCAAACAATGGAAGTGTTGAGATGATATGAGTTATACTCCAACTTCCCAGAATATATTAGATTGTGGAAGGCTGCCTGACAATTTTATTGGTCTATTGTTGTGATATTATCTCCTTGCAAATAGAAACTAAGTTCCTTAGTTTCAGTCTCAGTAGCATTTCCAGTTAAATATGTGACCAGAATCATAAGAAATGAATATGCCAATTCCTATGCTATTTAGCTAACTTAGATTGACTGCTACAAGATATGGGTTGTCCACTAGTATTTTTTAAAAATCAACATTAGTAGAATGACAATAGGCCTGGTATTAATAACTAGAACATCACTTCCACAAACTAGTTCATGGGTTTGTCCTGGGTATTGTTAATTTCTTGATTTTTTTTAAAGAAATTGAGAGCAGCCTGTTACCTTATGTTTTGATGGAAGGCATCTTGGGAAAAATGATTATCCAAGGCTAATGAGTTTGGCTGCTTATTATTTAATTGGGGATTCCCACATCCAAATCCAACTCTAAGGAGTATTCATACCATCGTTTGATCTTCACTGGGAGATCACACAAAATACTGTATACTTCCAGCAGCATTTGATTTACATTCCCATTTCACAGTCAACTAGATTTTTAGATTGGAATTGACATTTTTGTCCCACTATCAAGGACCTAGGATAGGCAGATATTGTTGTTTAACCATTTCAGGATGTAAGCTGCCTTTTGCAATTGACTGATGCTGATTTTGTCAATGCTGATAGTGTTCAGATGGAATGACACTCAACGCACCTATTAATATTGATAATATTTTTGCTTTCTTTTGCCAGGAACATTCTACTTCTATTTGCAAATCTTTATATTTTGTGATTTCCTTATTCTTATTATTAAATATTGAGTTAGTTGAATTTCTCATGAGTTCATTTTCACTGTTTAATGGTAGAACTAGACAAAAAGGTAATGTTAGAGCTGGAAGAAAATTGATAGGGTTCCTATTCCTGTTCTATTCTTTTCTATAGTTTTCTCCATGTCTACCTGTCCTATTATTATGTGTAAGCTGAAACAGACTATGAGAAATATATTATTGCTTTTCTTTGAAAAGTAGAGGTTGTTGACCACAACTCATTACCATCTCAACATTTCCTTTATTTATTCTTCTATACTACTTAATATATTGTTTTCTCTTGGTGCTACCACAATGGGAGCTAGCTATATGAAGTTTATAACACCATATAGAAATCAGATATGAATTCAGCTTTATATACTTTTACACAAAACATTTCAAGGAAGATTGGCAGAGTAGCACATCAGTATGCATTGTGCTGTTACAGCATGATTATATGTGTGCAAAAGTATGGATGAAGACTTTGATAGTGTATTGGGTTGGCCAGGAGAATCCTGTCTGTCTGGTAGGGTCAAAGAAGAAAGCATTTTCTATTGTAACATCCGCCCTTTGCGATACCATTTTCTTAAAGATCAGATTGGATCCAAACCTAAAGCCTTTTGCAAGGCTTTAGAGACCTGACATTGCCATCCAGAATTCAGGACCACATGTGCAATAAAGTCTGTATAGTTGTGTTGTGTATTGATAGTTTTGAATACCTCGGGTACAAATTATCTTATACAATTTGTTACATGGTTTTATATATTTTTATTGCTTTTAATTGCTGTAACTTGTCCAGAGTCATGAATATGAGATAAGAGGCTATATACCATAAATCAAATAATCAGCCTTATCATCAAACCTTGAAACCTTACCATCAAGACATGACTTGAAATAGTTTTCTCAACCATGCACACATGAGACATCTTGAATCATGGTTGTAAGAGTTTTAAGGCAGTATACCCAATGATATTTGGTGGTACACTAACTAGCTGCCTTGATAGAAAATATACTGTTCTTACTTAAGCATTTAAAATTATTGTTATTATTGTCAGAGGAGAAAAGGTATCTTTTTATTATTAATTCAGAGGAAGACAAGCCCCGATCTTGCTTTAATGTCAAATCCCAGTTGAGTTTACAATATATTCTATCTCCTGGAAGTTCAATAATGACAACAATAATAATACATTTCTTAATCCTTGCAGTGTTTATTTCTTTATTTCAAGACCTGTTTGAATGCCAAGCTGTGAATGGAGAAATGCAAAATAATATTTCTCCTTCTATTTGTAGCCCCAATGTATGTGCTGTGCTGAAACTCATTGGAACCAACAAGAAATACTTGCCAAGTTGCAAACTGTGGTACCAGAAGAAAATATGTGGAAAATCAACGTAAGTAAAGTTTAAGAAAAGGAGAAAGTTTTTCTTTTTGTGCTCAACAGGCATGCAAATGAATAACGAAGTAAGGTTTTCTTCCTGACTTCTTCAGCCCCATGAGGGATATCTGCAAATCAATCTGATGTCTGACCTGGCAAATCCAACAAGCATAGCCTAAAGCTTCCTGGAAAAAAAAATGGCCTTGATGCATACTCTTGGAAGGAAGAAGCAATCTGCACTCAGTTAGGAATTTATACAGGCTGGCTGCCTGCCAGTCTTCTGCTAAAGTCTTCTAGTCTTCTGAGAAAGGTGTATCCTCCCCAAGGTCAGATAAATTTGAAATTTGAGGGATGAGATAAATATAAGGATCATGAAAGATCCAGAGAGCCAACTTGGCCAGAGTAATTTATAGGTTGATCATCTGTGATGATAAATATGTTTCTATGTAAGATGAAATCAACAGAAGTTAGAAAAGGGAAAATATGTCTTAAGGGAACCAGTGTCTTAGAGCAAAAGCATGTAAGTGTTTTCACATCAATGGTTGCAAGTAAGTAGGGCTGGCGAAGCAAAGGGTCCAAGATAAAATTTTTCTTAATTTAATTTACATGAAAATATACGTATGGAAAATTAATTACAGTTCCATAAAGTCAGTTTAGTGATACCAATTCTGCACTGATTTAATCATCTCTATTAATCACATTAACATTTACAGTTTGCTAGCAGAGTTTGGAGAGTTGTATAGACCAGGGGTCTCCAACCTTGGCAACTTTAAGCCTGGAGGACTTCAATTCCCAGAAGTCCCCAAGTTGGCTGGGGACTTCTGGGAGTTGAAGTCCTCCAGGCTTAAAGTTGCCAAGGTTAGAGACCCCCTGGTATAGACTATATTTACAACTCTGGAAGGTTTGAAGCTTTCGATTATGCCCTTCTGCATTTGCGCTTCTGCTGTTGACCACAGGAGATGCACTTTTATAATGAAGTCTCACACCAGGGTATTATGGGAGTTTTGAATCCCAAAATATAGTACTTTTCTCTGGAAAGAAATAGCGACCTTATTCCTTTTTTTCCCCCTAGATCAGAAGAGCTGCAAAAAGAGGTTGATTGGGAACATACAGTATCAAAGAATGTTATAAAAAATTGACAGTCTTATGATTTCCAATGTTCAGTGTAGAGAGTAAGGGACATAATCTTAATGTACAATGGATAGATGAGATCCATTACCAAAGCAACAAGGAGGGGGGGGGGAATCTTGGATTCAAAACAAGCAGAAAGTACACAGAAATATCTCAGATGGACATCTTCCTAATTCAGTGGTCGCCAACCAATGGGTCGGGGACCACTGGTGGTCCACAAGGAAATTTTGGTGGTCCACAGAGAAATATCACCCCCAAAGCACCATCCAAAGCAATTAATCCAGGCTATGTGGAAACATAAGGTTGCAACACCCACATGGCCTGTGGGAACACAAGGCTTGTGTCCCTTGCATTGCGAACAACACAAGGTAGTGAGGGGAGGGGGAAAAGGGTACAGGGAACTTGCCCCACTCACCCCATGCACCTGGCCTGCCACTGGGCTGCTTCTTTTTGCTTCTTTCTTCTTCTGCTTTTGGCTGCATGCAAGGAAAGCAGCAAAAGTCTTTCTTTCTCTCCCCCAAACTCTGCCAGAAACAAATCTTTGGGACACTGCAAGGCATCCTGCTCCAAGAGGCTGTGCTGGCATGACAAGTCTCACAAAGACTCATTTCTGGCAGAATTTGGGGGAGAGAAAGAAAGACTTCTGCTGCTTCTGCTGCTTTCCTTGCATGAAGCCAAAAGTCTCTCTCTCTGGCCCTGAGAACAGAGCTGGAGATGGTATCCTGCGATCCCAAATAAAGAATGATCGATCAGTAGGAAAACAAGGTGGGGAATTTTCCTGCAGACTTTTTTGGGGGGGATTTTCCCAGGATCTCTGGTCCACGGGATTTAAACTTATGAGTTTGGTGGTCCCTGAAGTCCAAAAGGTTGGCGACCCCTGCCCTAATTCACATGGGTATTAGATGAGGAGGAGGTAGAAGCACAGCCAGATTTGCCATATTCTATTATAGCTACTCTCAATAAAAGTAGTCTTAGCCTTCCTAGCCATGGTCTGGTCTTCATGGCGAGGCTGCCACTCAGAAATGGTTTGCCAAAAAATGTAAAATGAGGATTGACAAAATGTCCAGATATATCTTGGAAAAGACTGTTGTTGGATGGTTCATAATTGATTAAACAATGAAGTGCTTGTTTATGGCTTTGTGCCAACCTGCAAGGAGATTTTGAAAAGATATCCCACGGACTTAAGTTTGGTCCTGCCTTTCCATTGTTTGAGCACAGAATTTTAAAGCAAGAGAGGTGATTGGCTTATCAAATTGGTAGCTGGCAGAAATTTGGCAAGGGTTATCTGTACTAGGGAATACGTAATCAAAATTCAAATGGTCTTGACAGGTCTAAATGAACAAGATGAAATTCAACAGAAATACATTTTAAGTCCAACAATCAGCGACAAAAGAATAAAAAGCAGGTGGGATGGGTGAGAGCAAACTTGGCAAAAGTATACGTGAAAAGGATTTTGAGTGTCTTGTTATAGTTTGAACAGGAGCCAGCATGATTGAAAAAAAAAAGCAAATGCAATCATAGACTATAGGAACAGGTGAGATCATGAGAAGTAGATTCTCAGCTTTTATGTTACATTTGTCAAACTTTACCTTGAGTACTTGACTGATCATAGATGTCACATTTGAAAAAGTACAATGAAAATCTGGTAAATGTCCAAGGAAATTGCTGAAAGGAGTGACTGAAGGAATCTGGGTATCTTTAGCCTGAAGAAAAGATTAATAAGGGGTGGCTTGCATATTTTATGCAAAATACAGACCTCGTTGCTCTGGATGGCAGAGATTTAGATAATTCTAGGGTTAATCTCTTTGCATTCATTCCCTATTCTTTCCCTCCCATTTTCTTGCTTCAAGTTTTTTTCCCCTAGGAAACACCAGCAATGACATGACTGTCTGTCTGTGCATGTGTGCATGTGTATGTGTGTGTGTGTGTGTGTCTTAAAAGATTTCCCAAACAACGGAGACATTCACAGAACGTTTCATTCTAAGAAAAAAAACCTTTTTTGTTACATCTGTTTTATAAAAAGTAGATTTTTCAGGAATGTTGTATTGAAATACCATCTTGAAAAAATAGAGATGGTAATTGATAACATTATTGGAACATGATCAAATTCAGCAGCAGCAGCTCTTTTCCAATTATTAACCAATTCAACTTGATCCACAGCCAATGTAAAGAGATATTCAAAAATCTATGTAACATATCCGGAAAATCCTTACTTGGGCCATAACAGTTAATAATAACAGTATATTTGTTAAAGCACAATCACCACTATATTAAAAACATTTCTGGACCACTTATCTTTTCCACCACCAATTTTAAGCAGTTGTTAATCAAAATTTCTACCCTCTAACAGAATTTTAGTTTCCAATTATATATACTGATCCCCTAGACAAGAAATATTTATTTACAGAACAAAAATGTGAGTTTTTTTTTTTAAAAAAAAATAACTGTAGTTTTAAGTTTTATTAAGTATTAAGAATTGGTATACAAGTGATATATAGCAATAGCATTTAGACTTTGCATATACTGCTTTTTACAGTGCTTTTTAGCCTCTCTAAGCAGTTTACAGAGTCAGCATATTGTTCCAACAATCTGGGCCCTCATTTTATCAGCCTCAGAAGGATGGAAGGCTGAGTCAACCTGGAGCTGGTCAGGATTAAACTCCTGACAAAGTGAGCAGAATTAGCCTGCAACACTGCATTCTAACCATTTTGCCACCACGGCTGATTATATATGGTTCATGAATGGATAAAAACTTTTTAACGAAAGATGAAGGTGACTGTAAACCAGTGTTTTTCAAACTTGGCAGCCTGAAGATGTGTGGACTTCAACTCTCAGAATTCCCCAGCCAGCACGCTGGTTGAAGAATCCTGGGAACTGAAATCCACCCATCTTCAAACTGTGAAGGTTGAGAAACACTGCTGTGAACCATTAGAAGACATCAGTGGTAGCAATATACTAAGTTTAGACCTATAGACAGAGACCATAGACAGCTAAAAGCTTTGGGCACTGAAATGGGAGATACTTAAATAAAAGCAATTATTCAGAAGAATGATAGGTTCATCTTTTCTTTTAAAATGGACATGGACTACTATTTATTAGGGAGGCTTTATTTTTGTAGTCTTCCAGAGAAGCTATGATTCTTTGTGTAATTGCGCCGATCCTGAGATTTTTCTGTCCTATGCATCAAGATCAAGTAAATCTTGCAACATTCATGGATAATGTACAATAAAGATAATAAAGTCCTGAGAAACTGGTAAAAATACTCATGCCAAGTTATCAAAAGACAAAATATTTGTAAGATCCACACCTTTCAATCCTATCCAAAGCAAGTCCAAACATGAATAGCTTATGACACTTGTAACAGGCTAGCAGATTCAAATTAAAGCAAGTTTTTCAAGACAGCTTTTCATACTCTACATTCATGATATCTATAATTAAAATGTGTGTTGAAAACAGCTTTTCATACTCTACATTCATGATATCTATAATTAAAATGTGTGTTGAAAAGAACACATACATGATAAGATATGTAAATAGTGTATAGGAGGGATTGGATCATTGTTCTGTTTTAAACATGGATGTAGGTTTTTCTTACTTCTTTGTGCTCATCTTTACTAGAAAACCACATTTGTCTGAGGAGCACAAACCACTCTCTGATTTGAACATCAAAAAGAAATTGTTTAAAAGTCTCTGAAGGTCCTTGATATCTCCCAAAAAGGGGATATAACTCACCATCTGGAAGGAACAGGTAGAAATAAAGTCAAGAGAAAAAGCAAAGGAAATTTGTCTAACTCATTCCTATATTATGTGATGAACCATTTTTCACACTACTGTGACAACTATAATTCCTTTTTTAAATTGGTCCCAAATTTATGAATATTTTTT